GGAGCTGCTGCAGGGGACCAGAGTGGCTGCCAATGCTCCATTCAGGGTGTGCACAGGAGGCCTTGGTGTGGCTCCTGTTGCAGGGATGGGGCTGCCATGGGGGGCAGGAGTGCCCCAGGCCTGTCCTGGGGATGGGAGTAGGGAGGGTAACCAACATTAGCTTGGGAGGGAGGTGTGGAGGGCAGTGTGGCCGGCAAAGCTCCAAACTCTCAGCATATGATGGCTGATGATGTGAATGATACAGTGGGGGAAAAAAGTATTTAGTCAGCCACCAATTGTGCAAGTTCTCCCACTTAAAAAGATGAGAGAGGCCTGTAATTTTCATCATAGGTACATGTCAACTATGACAGACAAAATGAGAAAAAAAATCCAGAAAATCACATTGTAGGATTTTTAATGAATTTATTTGCAAATTATGGTGGAAAATAAGTATTTGGTCAATAACAAAAGTTTGTCAATACTTTGTTATATACCCTTTGTTGGCAATGACACAGGTCAAACGTTTTCTGTAAGTCTTCACAAGGTTTTCACACACTGTTGCTGGTATTTTGGCCCATTCCTCCATGCAGATCTCCTCTAGAGCAGTGATGTTTTGGGGCTGTCGCTGGGCAACACGGACTTTCAACTCCCTCCAAAGATTTTCTATGGGGTTGAGATCTGGAGACTGGCTAGGCCACTCCAGGACCTTGAAATGCTTCTTACGAAGCCACTCCTTCGTTGCCCGGGCGGTGTGTTTGGGATCATTGTCATGCTGAAAGACCCAGCCACGTTTCATCTTCAATGCCCTTGCTGATGGAAGGAGGTTTTCACTCAAAATCTCACGATACATGGCCCCATTCATTCTTTCCTTTACACGGATCAGTTGTCCTGGTCCCTTTGCAGAAAAACAGCCCCAAAGCATGATGTTTCCACCCCATGCTTCACAGTAGGTATGGTGTTCTTTGGATGCAACTCAGCATTCTTTGTCCTCCAAACACGACGAGTTGAGTTTTTACCAAAAAGTTATATTTTGGTTTCATCTGACCATATGACATTCTCCCAATCCTCTTCTGGATCATCCAAATGCACTCTAGCAAACTTCAGACGGGCCTGGACATATACTGGCTTAAGCAGGGGACACGTCTGGCACTGCAGGATTTGAGTCCCTGGCGGCGTAGTGTGTTACTGATGGTAGGCTTTGTTACTTTGGTCCCAGCTCTCTGCAGGTCATTCACTAGGTCCCCCCGTGTGGTTCTGGGATTTTTGCTCACCGTTCTTGTGATCACGGGGTGAGATCTTGCGTGGAGCCCCAGATCGAGGGAGATTATCAGTGGTCTTGTATGTCTTCCATTTCCTAATAATTGCTCCCACAATTGATTTCTTCAAACCAAGCTGCTTACCTATTGCAGATTCAGTCTTCCCAGCCTGGTGCAGGTCTACAATTTTGTTTCTGGTGTCCTTTGACAGCTCTTTGGTCTTGGCCATAGTGGAGTTTGGAGTGTGACTGTTTGAGGTTGTGGACAGGTGTCTTTTATACTGATAAGTTCAAACAGGTGCCATTAATACAGGTAACGAGTGGAGGACAGAGGAGCCTCTTAAAGAAGAAGTTACAGGTCTGTGAGAGCCAGAAATCTTGCTTGTTTGTAGGTGACCAAATACTTATTTTCCACCATAATTTGCAAATAAATTCATTAAAAATCCTACAATGTGATTTTCTGGAAATTATTTTCTCAATTTGTCTGTCATAGTTGATGTGTACCTATGATGAAAATTACAGGCCTCTCTCATCTTTTTAAGTGGGAGAACTTGCACAATTGGTGGCTGACTAAATACTTTTTTCCCCACTGTACATAGTGTGGACTGCATCATGTGGTGCACTACCCTCAACAGTGTTTTTCCAGACCCTAGGGTAGTGGTCGGTGCTGTGTAGAGCTGGGCTGAGTTGAGGTGGGCCAGGTCTGGTTGAGCTGTGCTGTGATGGGCCAGGTCTGGTTGAGCTGTGATGGGCCAGGTCTGGTTGAGCTGTGCTGTGATGGGCCAGGTCTGGTTGAGCTGTGCTGGGCCAGGTCTGGTTGAGCTGTGATGGGCCAGGTCTGGTTGAGCTGTGATGGGCCAGGTCTGGTTGAGCTGTTTTGAGGGTGTCTGGTCTGGTAGCATGGGAGGGAGGTTGTAGGGAGAATTGAAGAGGCAGTGTGGCCGGCGATGCTCCGAATTCTGACTGCATACGGCTATACGTCTGTATTCACTCTCTTGTGGTTAGAAGACCTATGTGGTACTCTGCCCTAGTCATTTGAGGTGGCTTTGGGGAACAAGAAGAGCCTCTTTGAAATGGAAAAGCTTCTCGGTAGCTTCTCACAAAGAAGAACATCAAGAGGAAGCAGCTGCTTTGGGCTGCATCCCCAGGGATTTGGGCTGCTTTGGGATGCACTGTTGAGCGTTGCATCCCCAGGGATTTGGGCTGCTTTGGGATGCACTGTTGAGCGTTGCATCCCCAGGGGTTCATGCTGATTGTAAGGAGATTGTGACAGCCGGTTAAATGGCATCCCTTGAGAGGGCAAGAACAAGATGTATGTCGAGATAAGTGCATTATTATCATAAGGAGATGTATAATTGGAATACGGAGGAGGAATAGAGGGGAAATGAGGTCTAAGAGAGAGAGGGAGGAAGAGGGTGAGCTTGAGTCGGTTAAAAATGGCGGAAAAAAGGGAGAAGATTTGTTAAAGAAGAATGGTGTAAGCATTCTTTTGTTTTTGCTGGTTAGAGGGAGCAGGCGCTCCGCGTTAAACGAATGGGGGCAAGAGATGTGAATTGTTTTGCTCTCAAGAAAAGGACGCCAAAATGTAAAAGTTGACCAACTGAAGGGGAAGATTCCCGGTGTTTGTGATGCTCGTCGTTTGGTGCGACGCAAACAGGGTGGCGTGAGTGGTGAAACAGAAGAGTCGTTGTCTGTCCTTTTGAGTTTTGATGTTGAGTCTTTGCCCAACAAAGTGATGTTAGGATATATAAGTTATCACATACAAGCTTTTGTGCCGAATACATTACGTTGGTACAGGTGTCAAGCTTATGGGCATGTGGCAGCAGTGTGTAGGAGGGAGGTTCCAAGGTGTGAGAAGTGTGCAGAAGGGCATGAGACAAAGGAATGTGTAACATTGGGGAAAGTAGTGGTATGTGTTAATTGTAGGGGTGGCCATGGGGCTGGGGATCAGACATGTCCCGTGCGAGGGAGGAAGGATGAGGTTTCCAGGGTTACAGTAGTGAAGAAGTTGTCATATGTTGAGGCAGTGAAGAAAGTAGAGGAAGATAGGTCAAGGGGGAGGATCCTGAGAGGAGTGGTGAGAGGAGTGGTGTGAGCTGTAGAGGAAGATGGGTCAAGGGGGGGGGGATCCTGAGAGGAGTGGTGAGAGCTTGTAGAGGAAGATGGGTCAAGGGGGAGGATCCTGAGAGGAGTGGTGTGAGCTGTAGAGGAAGATGGTAAGGGGGAGGATCCTGAGGAGGAGTGGGTGTGAGCTGTAGAGGAAGATGGGTAAGGGGGAGGATCCTGAGAGGAGTGGTGTGAGCTTGTAGAGGAAGATGGGTAAGGGGGAGGATCCTGAGAGAGTGGTGAGAGTGTAGAGGAAGATGGGTCAAGGGGGAGGATCCTGAGGGATGGTGTGAGCTGTAGAGGAAGAGGGGGTCAAGGGGGAGGGATCCTGAAGAGGATGGTGAGCTGTAGAGGAAGAGGGGTCAAGGGGGAGGGATCCTGAGAGGAGTGGTGTGAGCTGTAGAGGAAGATGGGTCAAGGGGGAGGATCCTGAGAGGAGTGGTGTGAGCTGTAGATCTGTACCAGTACAGACTGATAGGCCAACAAAAAATCAAATCAAATCAAATTGTATTTGTCACATGCGCCGAATCCAACAGGTGTAGACCTTACCGTGAAATGCTTACTTACAAGCCCTTAACCGACAATGCAGTTCAAGAAATAGAGTTAAGAAAATATTTAATAAATAAACTAAAGTAAAAAAAATATTTAAAAAAAAAAGTTATAAAATAACTATAATGAGGCTATATACAGGGGGTACCGGTACCGAGTCAATGTGCAGGGGTACAGGTTAGTCGAGGTAATTTGTACATGTAGGTAGGGGTAGTAGCAGTGTAAAAAACAGCGAGTAGCAGCAGTGTAAAAACAAAGGGGGGTGTCAATGTAAATAGTCCGGGGGCCATTTGATTAATTGTTCAGCAGTCTTATGGCTTGGGGGTAGAAGCTGTTAAGGAGCCTTTTGGACCTAGGACTTGGCGCTCCGGTACCGCTTGCTGTGCTGTAGCAGAGAGAACGGTCTATGACTTGGGTGACTGATATATGTTTCAGTAAGATTTTTAGCACTTATAGCAATGGTTGTCAACTGTACTGCAGGGATGGAACTTAAGTCACAGAAAATGGAGGTGGTGGTGGCAGCTGCAGAGAGGTATTTAGGTGTGTGAGACTTGACGTCAGAATAGTTACAGGGTGTGTTAAGTGGTGGTGTCCCATCCTTTCAGGCTGTTGGCATGAGGTAGGACTAAATAGATTAAAATAGTGGAGTAGGGTTAGATAGTAGAGTATTTGTTTATTTATTATTATTTATTTATTTTTTCAAGCAAAGTATAAGGGAGTTATACTCCAGCCTAGTAGGTTGGAGGTAATGCAACATTTATTGGATGCCAAACGCCGTTAATCCTCATCGAAGAAGAAGATTTGACGGCCTGCACATGCGCAGTAAGAGTGAGACGACCGTTAAACCCGATGACGTGTTTTACACATGAGCTTAGCTAGCAACTTCGCCATGACATTGCCTACAAGTGTGACCGGGGATTTCTATTGGAGAAGCTGTTTTAGCCTATCTTCATACTGTACTGTCTTTAGAGGTGTCTTTGGTACGAACTCTGTGATTGTAGCCTCTGGCTTCTCTCTTTTACTTCCGCAAACATCCCGTTTACAGGAAGTGACGCTGTAGTAAATACCACCGGAACGGAAGTCCATGGAGCGCGCCAAATTTGTTGTGCAGCTGCGTTGGAGTGAACTTCGCGTTGAAGATTTTAGATAAAATATATATATGCTGATAAGGAAGCAGGACTGCTGAAAGACTCAAGGTAAACAACACAGACTAGTTTGCTCTTGCCTGACAGGAACTGGGGTTAGCTATTAAACTTAACGTCAGTAAGATTTAGCCAATGTGTGGTTTTGTTAAAGTAACTAGCTAGCATGTTTGGCAACACGTATTTTAGCTAGCTGACATGTGAATTATAATTATTGTCGATATTGTATAGTTCAATACTTAGGTTAGATATTGAATGACTTGCCGTGTTCACGTACTAGTCGGAACTAGGAAACTCGGACATTTCCGACTGGCTAATTGGTTGTAGTTATACACGTGCCGCGTTCAACCAGTTAGCAAGTCGGAAATGTCCTAGTTCCGACTAGTAGCTGAACGCGGCAACAGTAAATTTAAGATACTGTATAACTGAACCAGAATCTGTGCACAGAGGAGAGTATGAGTGACTGAGGAGAACCTCTTATTCTGGTTCACAGTAACGTTACCTGTCATATAGCCAAGTTGGCTAAATTACTAGCGAACGTTAGTTAACTAAATTGATTATGATATTGCGTCCTATTATAGTTAGTCATGTTAACGTTAGTGTTGGTTTGAGGACTAGTTAGCTAGTAACGTTAGCTTGGTTTAGCTATATGTCTTTAGTTAGCCAGACAGTCAGTAAAAACAGATTCTTTACAGTCACGGCCTTGGATGGATTGGTACAGAGAAACTCAGAGTTGTGTTCGAATACTCATACTTAACCTTACTATTTGTGACGTAAATTGAGTATGTAGTATGCTTATTGGTCGTAGTATGGATATGGTTAGTATGCCAAAAGTTCCCGGATGTCGTACTAAATTCGCCTAATACGAAGTATACAAGTAGAGGACACTATTTCCGTGCTTTTAGAGCAGGGCTGCCCAACACTCTTCCTGGAGATCTACTGTCCCGTAGGTTTTCAGTCCAACCCTAATTTAGCATATCTGATTCAGCTAATAAGTGGAATCAGGTGTCTTATAATTAGGGTTGGACTGAAAACTCAGTTCTTACTGACTGTCTGGCTTCACAACGTTTTCAGATTTGAAGTAAATGGCGGAAAATATGCAGCTGAAGTCGGAGAGAGGATACAAATTGATTGCTTTAACTAATTATGACAAATGTTAAGAAAATGTTGAACAATGTAATAAAGTAATGACTTTTCAAATAAGTTACGTTAAGTTGGCTGACAATTTGTTAGCTATGCTATCCTTACGAACCACATAGCATATCATTACAGCAGTATGTACCGGTATGTTAGTTAGCTATCTAACGTAATGTTAGTTGGCTACTAATACATCGGACTTGCCAATATATTAACTATATGCTATCTAACTACCCAACGTGTATTGACCTAATTATTCACGTCATTCTTAGCTAAGTGGTATAGTCTATCTGCGTTCCAAATGGACATTGTTCATTCTCAATGGCTATTCACTCCGACTTCAGAGTGTTCCAGAGGGCAGAATAACTGATGGATTTACTAACGCTCAACACCCGTTGAATATTAACCGGTGTCAGTAAACGTCTGCAAAAAAACGTTATTATATTGTTGCCAGCAGCACAGTTAGTCACCAACGCTCTGGATAACATGAAAACAGCCTAACCAGCTCTGCTAGGGCGAGTAAAATGGTCAGAGTGAGGTGTGCTCTCATTTGTGTCTGGAAGTAACTAGCAATGTAGCCAACGTTGACTAGTTAGCTTTTGGTGCTTGGATCAACCCTACTCCTCGACCAGAGCGACCAGTGTGCGCTCCGAAAGCGAAATGCTCTGAATTTACGAACCACAAGAGCGCACTCTGGCACTCCAGATTGAATTTACCAACACACATGAAATCGTATGACGTATAGCAAGTAATTAGTTATGCTAGCAATAGGTTGCATGGCAACAGCATCAACTTCCGGTAGACAGGTGAAGCTGAAAGGATAACGTTAGTTTACAGTATACTAAAATGTACTAATAGTATTTAGTATACAGTATGTTAGTATGGGTATTCAAACACAGCTCAGGACTAGCTGTCAGACATACTGTTTAACGTGTGTGTGTGTGCACATGCAGCATGGCGGTACCTTTTGTGCAGGACTGGGACCTGATCCAGACGCTGGGAGAAGGAGCATATGGAGAGTGAGTACAAGCAAAAATTGTATGGATGAGGCAAAAGGAATGGCATTTAAGTCTGGCTGCACAGCCGATTGGCAAACGTACTGCAAATTGAGAAATCATGTGACTAAACTGAATAAAAAGAAGAAACTACACTATAAATCAAATTATAAATTATATAAAGAATGATAGTAAGAAGCTTTGGAGCACCTTAAATGACATTTTGGGCAAAAAGGCAAACTCAGCTCAATCATTAATTGAATCAGATGGCTCATTCATCACAAAACCCACTGATATTGTCAATTACTTTAATTATTTTTTAATTGGCAAGATTAGCAAACTTAGGCATGAGATGCCAGCAACACACACTGACAGTACACATCCAAGTATATCTGACCAAATTATGAAAGACAAGCATTGGAAGAGGTGTATTTTTTGCTGTTGTCTATCAACAATGACAAGCCACCGGGGTCTGACAACATGGATGGAAAATTACTGAGGATAATAGCGGACGATATTGCCACTCCTATTTGTCATATCTTCATTCTAAGCCTACTAGAAAGTGTGTGCCCTCAGGCCTGGAGGGAAGCAAAAGTCATTCCGCTACCCAAGAACAGTAAAGCCCCCTTTACTGGCTCAAATAGCTGACCAATCAAATCAAAAAAATGTTTACACATACACGTGTTTAGCAGATGTTATTGCGGGTGTAGCGAAATGCTTGTGCTTCTAGCTCCGACAGTGCAGTAATATCTAACAAGTAATATCTAACAATTTCACAACATATACCCAATGCACACAAATCTAATTAAGGAATGGAATTTAAGAATATATACATATATGGACACGCAATGACAGAGCGGCATGGACTAAGATACAGTAGAATATTATAGAATACAGTATATACATATGAGATGAATAATGCAAGATATGTAAACATGATTAAAGTGACTAGTGTTCCATTTCTTAAAGTGGCCAGTGATTTCAATAGGCAGCAGCAGCCTCTAATGTGCTAGTGATGGCTATTTAACAGTCTGATGGCCTTGAAATAGAAGCTGTTTTTCATTCTCTTGGTCCCAGCTTTGATGCACCTGTACCGACCTCGCCTTCTGGATGATAGCGGGGTGAACAGGCAGTGGCTCGGGTGGTTGATGTCCTTGATGATCTTTTTAGCATTCCTGTGACATTGGGTGCTGTAGGTGTCCTGGAGGGCGGGTAGTTTGCCCCCGGTAATGCGTTCGGCAGACCGCACCACCCTCTGGAGAGCCCTGCGGTTGCGGGCGGTGCAGTTGCAGTACAAGGCGGTGATACAGCCCGACAGGATGCTCTCAATTGTGATTCTGTAAAAGTTTGTGAGGGTTTTAGGTGCCAAACCAAATTTCTTCAGACTCCTGAGCTTGAAGAGGCTCTGTTGTGCCTTCTTCACCACACTGCCTGCGTGGGTGGACCATTTCAATTTGTCAGTGATGTGTACGCCAAGGAACTTGAAGCTTTCCACCTTCTCCACTGCGGTCCCGTCGATGTGGATAGGGGCGTGCACCCTCTGCTGTTTCCTGAAGTCCACGATCATCTCCTTTGTTTTGTTGACTTTGAGTGAGAGGTTATTTTCCTGAAACCACACTCCCAGAGCCACTTCCTCCCTGTAGGCGGTCTCGTCATTGTTGGTAATCATGCCTACTACTGTTGTGTCGTCTGCAAACTTGATGATTGAGTTGGAGGCGTGCTTGGTCACGCAGTCATGGGTGAACAGGGAGTACAGGAGGGGGCTGAGCACGCACCCTTATGGGGCCCCAGTGTTGAGAATCAGTGAAGTGGAGATGTTGTTTCCTACCTTCACCACCTGGGGGTGGCCCATCAGGAAGTTCCAGGAACCAGTTGCACAGGGCGGGGTTCAGACCAAGTGGGTCTAGGGTGACAGGTTAGGTAGAGGTGATATGATCCTTGACTAGTCTCTCAAAACACACCAGCCAGCTGGTCTGCGCATGCTCTGAGGATGCGGCTAGGGATGCCTTCTGGGCCGGCAGCCTTGCGGAGGTTAACATGCTTAAATGTCTTAATCACCATGTCAGCCATGGAGAAGGAGAGCCCACAGTCCTTGGTAGTGGGCCACGTCGGTAGCACTGTTATCCTCAAAGCGGGCAAAGAAGGTGTTTCGCCTGTCTGGAAGCGAGGTGTCGGCGACTTGGCTGATTTTTCTTTTGTGGTCCGTGATTGTCTGTAGACCCTGCCACATACGTCTCGTGTCTGAGCCGACTTTGTCTCTATACTGATGTTTTGGCAGTTTTAATTGCCTTGCGGCGTGAGTAGCTACACTGTTTGTATTCTGCCATATTCCCAGTCACCTTGCCATGGTTAAATGCGGTGGTTCGCTCTTTCAGTTTTGCACGAAGGCTGCCATCTATCCACGGTTTCTGGTTAGGTTTTAAATAGTCACAGTGGGCACAACCTCTCCTATACACTTCCTGATAAACTCAGTCACCGTTTCAGTGTATTCGTCAAAGTTATTTTCGCAAGCTACCCGGAACATATCCCAGTCCGCGTGATCAAAACAATCTTGAACCGTGGATTCCGGTTGGTCAGACCAGCGTTGAATAGTCCATATCACGGGTACTTCCTGTTTTGAGTTTCTGCCTATAGAAAGGGAGGAGAGCAAAATGGAGTCGTGGTCAGATTTGCCGAAAGGAGGGCGGGGGAGGGCCTTATAACCATCCCGGAAGTTTGAATAGCAATGGTCGAGGACTTTAGATTTTGGATAGAACTTCGGCAGCCTAGTCCTCAAATTTGCTTTGTTAAAATCCCCGGCTACAATAAATGTGGCCTCAGGATATGTGGTTTCCAGTCTGCATAAGGTCCAGTGAAGTTCATTGAGGGCCGTCGTGGTATCGGCTTGAGGGGGGATATACACGGCCGTGACTATAACCGAAGAAAATTATCTTGGGAGATAATACGTCTCCAAGAGTGGCGCAGTGGTCTAAGGCACTGCATCGCCAGTACGAAAAAAATAAAAATAATGTATGTAGTCGCTCTGGATAAGAGCATCTGCTAAATGACTAAAATGTAAAAATAATACGGTCGCCATTTGATTGAGATATTTTAGGTCGGGTGAACAGAAGGACTCGAGTTCCTGTATGTTACTACAATTACACCATGAGTTATTAATCATGAAACACACACCTCCGCCCTTCTGCTTCCCGGAGAGAGATTTATTTCTGTCTGCGCAATGAACTGAGAACCCATCTGGCTGGACCGATTTGGACAGAATATCCCCAAAGAGCCTTGTTTCAGTGAAACAGAATATGTTACAGGCCCTGATTTCTATCTGGAAGGAAATCCTTGCACGGAGCTCGTCGACTTTGTTATCCAAAGACTGAACATTAGCTTGTAGTATACTTGGAAGCGGTGGGTCGTGAGCGCGCCTCCTATGTCGAACCAGCAGGCCTCTCCGAGTGCCTATCTTCCACCAGCGATGTTTTGGTCAGCCGCTGTTTGTTTTTACTCCTGAACTTCCTCAACCTCTCTGATCATTTTCATGATGTCCATCCGGTTTGCTTCTATATGCCATATCTTTGCTTTGCTCGTGTTTCTTGGCCCAAGCAGGTCTCTTCTTATTATTGGTGTCCTTTAGTAGTGGTTTCTTTGCAGCAATTCGACCATGAAGGCCTGACTCACACAGTCCCCTCTGAACAGTTGATGTTGAGATGTCTGTGACTTGAACTCTGTGAAGTATTTATTTGGGCTGCAATTTCTGAGACTGGTAACTCTAATGAACTTATCCTCTGCAGCAGAGGTAACTCTGGGTCTTCCATTCCTGTGGTGGTCCTCATGAGAGCCAGTTTCATCATAGTGCTTGATGGTTTTTGCGACTGCACTTGAAGAAACTTTTAAAGTTCTTGAAATGTTCCTTATTGACTGACCTTCATGTCTTAAAGTAATGATGGACTGTTGTTTCTCTTTGCTTATTTGAGCTTTTCTTGCCATAATATGGACTTGGTCTTTTACCAAATAGGGCTATCTTCTGTATACCCCCCCTACCTTGTCACAACACAACTGATTGGCTCGAACACATTAAGAAGGAAAGAAATTCCACAAATTAACTTTTAAGAAGGCACACCTCTTAATTTAAATGTATTCCAGGTGACTACCTCATGAAGCTGGTTGAGAGAATACCAAGAGTGTGCAAAGCTGTCGTCAAGGCAAAGGGTGGCTACTTTGAAGAATCTAAAATATATTTTAAACACTTTTTTGGCTACTACATGATTCCATATGTGTTATTTCATAGTTTTGATGTCTTCACTATTATTCTACAATGTAGAAAATAGTACAAATATAGAAAAACCCTTTAATGAGTAGGTGTGTCCAAACGTTTGACTGGTTCTTTGTGTGTGTATGTATGTATATGTGTATATATATATTTTTTTTAAATTCAAACACAGGGTGTGTCTATATATGGAAAAATACGCCTTTTGAAAACTTGATTGGTCAAATGAAGACTGCTCTCGGTCAACCCAAACGTTACATTTTTTGGTCAGACTGCCCTAGCCAACTCAATGCTAGTTCTCTTTTTGCAGACTATCAACAGTAGCCAGCATGTTGCTGATATGTTCACTATTGAAGGTCTCAGCCAGTAGATTTATTATTTTTGCTTTGGACAGCTCACGTGCTGTGTGACGGCATCGCCTCATGTACTGCTCGAGAAGTACATGACAAGCTATATCAGCTGATGAAATCAATGGCGAGGGATTATATAGAGAGATGTCGTTTAGTTCTTCTAACCTTCTACCTGTCTATCAGTCTGTCTGCCCCAGGTCCGCAGTGAGTCTGTGTCTGCCCCAGGTAGACAATGCTCACAAATGGTAAAATACATTTGAAATATTGATAAGCGTCAGTTGGGAGGTAGAGTGGGCATCGTCTTAATGCTAATTTTGTCGGAAACACTTACGGCCTCGAGTGATCACTATCGAACACATCAGCAAGTGGCCACTCCATGAAGGGCTCAGGGCCCACAGGTTCAGTTTGAGATGGAGCCTATGATTGCCCCCTAGTGGTCGTACTCAATAGGACCGTATTCTGCACTGTTCTCCATCGTTTTAATGGACGCTGATTTTGTCCGTTTGTCACATCCCTAGTGTGTGTGGTATTCATTGTGTGTGTGTGTGTGGTATTCATGGTGTGTGTGTGTGTGTGTGGTATTCATGGTGTGTGTGGTATTCATGGTGTGTGTGTGTGTGTGTGTGTGGTATTCATGTGTGTGTTGTGTGTGTGTGTGTGTGTGGGTATTCAATGGTGTGTGTGTGTGTGTGTGTTGTGTGGTATTCATTGGTGTGTGTGTGTGTGTGGTATTCATGGTGTGGTGTGTGTGTGTGTGTGGTATTCATGGTGTGTGGTGGTATTACATGGTTGTGTGGTGTTTGTGTGGTATTCATGGTGTGTGTGTGTGTGTGGTATTCAGTGTGTTGTGGTATTGTGTGGTGTGTGTGAGTATTCATGGTGTGTGTGTGTGGTATTCATGGGTGTGTGTGTGGTGGTGGTATTCATGGTGTGTGTGTGGATTCATTTTGTTGTTGTGTTTGTGTGGGGTGGTATTCATGTTGTGTGTGGTATTCATGGTGTGTGTTGTGGTATTCAGGGTTTGGGTTGTGTGTGTTGTGTGGTATTCATGGTGTGTGGTGGGGTATTCATGGTGTGTGTGGGTATTAAATGGTTTTGTTTGTTTTTTGTATTCATGGTGTGTGTGGTATTCATGGTGTGTGGATTCATGGTGTGGGTGTGTGTTGTGGTGGTATTCATTGGTTTGTTGGGTGTGTTGTGGTGTGGTGTGTGTGTGTGGAAATTCATTTTGTGTGGGAAATTCAGTGTGTGTGGTTTTCATGTGTGTTTTGTGGTTTTCATGGTTTTGGGGTGTGTGGTTCAGGTGTGTGGGGTGGTATTCAGGGTGTTGGTGTTTTGGGTATTCAGGGTTTGTGTTGTGTGTGTGTGTGTGTTTGGCTCAGGTGAGCGTTATGAACCACCAGACAGAGAGGGCTGTAGCTGTGGGGGTTTCATGGGGGTTGGGGTGTGTGTGGTCTCAGGGTGGGCTGTTGGTGAACCGCGACGGGGGGCTGTAGCGGTGTGGTATTCATGGTGTGTGTGTGTGTCTCAGGGTGAGGCTTTAGTGAACGACAGACGGAGGGCTGTATGCGGTGTGGTATTCATGTGTGTTTTGTGGGGTGGTATTTCATGGTGTGTTTTGGTTTTGTTTGTCTCGGGGGTGAGGTTTGTTAGTGAACCGACAGACAGGAGAAGCTGTAGCGGTGAAGGTCATTGATACGTCTCAGGGGAAGGAGTGTTCTGAGAACGTCAAGAAAGAGATCTGCATCAACAAGGTACCTATCTCTGTCTTATGCCTGTCTCCCTGTCTGGTATACCTGCCATCCTGCCTGCCTGTCTGGTCTGGTCTGGTCTGGCCTGTCTCCCTGTCTGGTATACCTGCCTGCCTGTCTGTCTGGTAGGTCTGTCTGTCTGACCTATGTCTTTGTCCTTTATTTATGATATTTAAAAATTATATATTGGTCATCGATGATTATTTTTTGCTTTCTCATGGACTTCTGGTTGTGTGTTACAGGTTCTGTCCCACCCTAACATAGTGCGTTTCTTCGGCCACCGGAGGGAGGGGCCGACTGTCTATCTGTTCCTGGAGTACTGCAGTGGAGGAGAGCTATTCGACAGGATTGGTGAGACTGACAGTGCCAGCAGCCAATCACAACACTGGAGAGAGGATTCAATCAGCCAATCACAGGCTGGGGGCCATCTCACACTGAAACAACTCTCTCTCTCTCTCTCCTCTCCCTCTCAGAGCCTGATTTGGGGATGCCAGAGAGAGAAGCTCACAGGTTTTTCCAGCAGTTGATAGCAGCTGTGGTGAGTGACAGTTACCGAGGAGGGTTAGAGGTCGGAGTGAAGGGGTCTACGGAGCGTAGCGCGGAGTTGGTTTGGTGGATATACTAGATTTAATCTCCTTCTCCCTCCCCCCTCTCTCCTTCTCCCTCCCCTTCTCTCCTTCTCCCTCCCTCTCCCCCTCTCTCCTTCCCCCTCCCCTCTCTCCTTCTCCCTCCCCCCTTCTCCTTCATCCCCCCCCCCTCTCACCGTCTCCCTCCCCCTTCTCCTCCCCCTCCCCTCCCCTCCCCTCTCCCTCCTCCCCTCCCCCCTCTCCTTCCTCCTCCCCCCTCTCTCCTTCTCCCTCCCCCTTCTCTCCTTCTCCCTCCCTTCCCTCTCTCTCCCCCTCTTTCCTTCTCCCTCCCCCCTCTCCTTCTCCTCTCCCTCCCCCTCCTCCTTCCTCCCGACCCCCCTCTCTCCTTCTTCCCTCTCCCCTCTCTCCTTTCTCTCCCTCTCCCCTCTCATCCTTCTCCTCCCCCCTCTCTGCCTTGTCTCCCTCCCCCCTCTGTCCTTCCCCTCTCCCGATTCTCCCTCCACCCTCTCTCCTTCTCCTCCCCCCTCTCTCACCCTCCTCCCCCCTCTCTCCATCTCCCTCCCCCTCTCTCCTTTCACTCCCCCTCTTCGCCCTTCCCCCTCCCCTCCCTCCCCCCTCTTCTCCTCACCCCCTCGCTAATTCTCCACTAACCCCTTCTCCCTCCCCCCTCTCTCCTTCTCCCTCCCCCTCTCTAGGAGTATCTCCACAGTGTAGGTATCACCCACAGAGACATCAAGCCTGAGAACATTCTACTGGACGATAAAGGTGTGTGTGTGTTTGACTGAGTGTGTGCTGGAAGTTGTGCTAATTTTATTTTGACATAATGGTGTATACTGTGTTCTGTGTTCTGTTGTGTGTTCTGTGTTCTGTGTTCTGTTGTGTGTAGATAACCTAAAGTTGTCAGACTTCGGTCTCGCTACGATGTTCCGTCACCGTGGGCGAGAGCGGCGTCTGAACAGGCTTTGTGGAACGCTGCCGTACGTCGCGCCTGAGCTGCTCAGCAAATTAGAGTTCAGCGCTCAACCAGCTGACGTCTGGGCCTGTGGCATCGTCCTCACTGCCATGTTGGCTGGCGGTAGGGGTGGTGTGTGTGTGTGGTGTGTGTGACGTTGTCATTGGAAGGTTGTAGAGTTGCTCTGGAACCTCTGTGTGTGTGTGTGTGTGTGACAGAGTTGCTATGGTTACAGAGTTGCCATGGGACCAGCCCAGCGAGAGCTGCCAGGAGTATTCTGATTGGCTGCAGAAGAAGACCTACCTCTCCCCCTGGAAGAAGGTTACACACACCCCCCTCAGTAAGACACACCCCCCTCAGTAAGACACACCCCCCTCAGTAAGACACACCCCCCTCAGTAAGACACACCCCCCTCAGTAAGACACACCCCCCTCAGTAAGACACACCCCCTCAGTAAGACACCACCCCCCCTCAGTAAGACACCCCCCCCCTCAGTAAGACACTGTAACTACTATAGGCCAGTCCAGAACAGTGTCTCAGTCTAAACTCCATGGTTCTATATGTGTGTGTATATGTGTATATATATATATATATATATATATATATATATATATTAATTACACACATTCTACTGTTCAAAAGTTTGGGGTCACTTAGAAATGTCCTTGTTTTCCATGTAAACATACATGAAATGAGTTTGAAATGTAGTCATTGACAAGGTTAGAAATAATGATTTTTAATTGAAATAATAATTGTGTCCTTCAAACTTTGCTTTCATCAAATAATCCTGATGGGCACTTCTTACGTACCATACGGTCAAGCTGCTCCCACAACAGCTCAATAGGGTTGAGATCCGGTGACTGTGCTGGCCACTCCATTATAGACAGAATACCAGCTGACTGCTTCTTCCCGAAATAGTTATTGCATAGTTTGGAGCTGTGCTTTGGGTCATTGTCCTGTTGTAGGAGGAAATTGGCTCCAATCAAGCGCCGTCCACAGGGTATGGCGTTGCAAAATGGAGTGATAGCCTTCCTTCTTCAAGATCCCTTTTACCCTGTACAAATCTCCCACTTTACCACCACCAAAGCACCCCCAGACCATCACATTGCCTCCACCATGCTTGACAGATGGCATCAAGCACTCCTCCAGCATCTTTTCATTTGGTCTGTGTCTCACAAATGTTCTTCTTTGTGATCCGAACACCTCAAACTTCGGTTCGTCTGTCCATAACACTTTTTTCCAATCTTCCTCTGTCCAGTGTCTGTGTTCTTTTGCCCATCTTAATCTTTTCTTTTTATTGGCCAGTCTGAGATATGGCTTTTTCTTTGCAACTCTGCCTAGAAGGTCAGCATCCCGGAGTCGTCTCTTCACTGTTGACGTTGAGACTGGTGTCTTGCGGGTACTAGTTAATGAAGCTGCCAGTTGAGGACCTGTGAGGCGTCTGTTTCTCAAACTAAACTCTAATGTATTTGTCCTCTTGCTCAGTTGTGCACCGGGGCCTCCCACTCCTCTTTCTATTCTGGTTAGAGCCAGTATGCGCTGTTCTGTGAAGGGAGTAGTACATAGCGTTGTACGAGATCTTCAGTTTCTTGGCAATTTCTCGCATGGAATAGCCTTCATTTCTCAGAACAAGAATAGACTGACGAGTTTCAGAAGAAAGTTATTTGTTTCTGGCCATTTTGAGCCTGTAATCGAACCCACAATTGCTGATGCTCCAGATACTCAACTAGTCTCAAGAAGGCCAGTTTTATTGCTTCTTTAATCAGCACAACAGTTTTCAGCTGTGCTAACATAATTGCAAAAGGGTTTTCTAATGATCAATTAGCCTTTTAAAATGATAAACTTGGATTAGCAAACACAACGTGCCATTGGAACACAGGACTGATGGTTGCTGATAATGGGCCTCTGTACGCCTATATTCCATAAAAAAACAGCCGTTTCCAGCTACAATAGCCATTTACAACATTAACAATGTCTACACTGTATTTCTGATCAATATGATGTTATTGGATGAAAAAATTGCTTTTCTTTCAAAAACAAGGACATTTCTAAGTGACCCAAACCTTTGAACGGTAGTGTGTCAAAAGTTTGGACACACCTACTCATTCAAGGGTTTTTCTTTATTTTTACAATTTTTTACATTGTAGAATAATAGTGAAGACATCCAAACTATGAAATAACACATATGGAATCATGTAGTAACCAAAAAAGTGTTAAACAAATCAAAATATATTTGAGATTCTTCAAAGTAGCCACCCTTTGCCTTGATGACAGCTTTGCACACTCTTGGCATTCTCTCAACCAGCTTCATGAGGTAGTCACCTGGAATGCATTTCAATTAACAGGTGTGCCTTGTTAAAAGTTAATTTGTGGAATTTCTTAATGCGTTTGAGCCAATCAGTTGTGTTGTGACAAGGTAGGGTGGGTATACAGAAGATAGCCCTATTTGGTAAAAGACCAAGTCCATATTATGGCAAGAACAGTTCAAATAAGCAAAGAGAAATGACAGTCCATCATTACTTTAAGACATGAAGGTCAGTCAATACAGAACATTTCAAGAACTTTGAAAGTTTCTTCAAGTGCAGTCGCAAAAACCATCAAGCGCTATGATGAAACTGGCTCTCATGAGGACCGCCACAGGAAAGGAAGACCCAGAGTTACCTCTGCTGCAGAGGATAAGTTCATTAGAGTTACCAGCCTCAGAAATTGCAGCCCAAATAAATGCTTCACAGAGTTCAAGTAACAGACACATCTCAACATCAACTGTTCAGAGGAGACTGTGTGAATCAGGCCTTCATGGTCGAATTGCTGCAAAGAAACCACTACTAAAGGACTCCAATAAGAAGGGACCTGCTTGAGCCAAGAAACATGAGCAATGGACATTAGACCGGTGGAGTCCAAATTGGTATTTTGTGAGACGCGGTGTGGGTGAACGGATGATCTCCGCATGTGTAGTTCCCACCGTGAAGCATGGAGGAGGAGGTGTTATGGTGTGGGGGTGCTTTGCTGGTGACACTGTCTGTGATTTATTTAGAATTCAAGGTCCACTTAACCAGCATGGCTACCACAGCATTCTGCAGCGATACTCTATCCCATCTGGTTTGGGCTTAGTGGGACTATCATTTGTTTTTCAACAGGACAATGACCCAACACACCTCCAGGCTGTATAAGGGCTATTTTACCACGAAGGAGAGTGATGGAGTGCTGCATCAGATGACCTGGCCTCCACAATCCCCCAACCTCAACCCAATTGAGATGGTTTGGGATGAGTTGGACTGCAGAGTGAAGGAAAAGCAGCCAACAAGTGCTCAGCATATGTGGGAACTCTTTCAAGACTGTTGGAAAAGCGTTCCAGGTGAAGCTGGTTGAGAGAATGCCAAGAGTGTGCAAAGCTGTCATCAAGGCAAAGAGTGGCTATTTGAAGAATCTCAAATATAACAAATCAAAATATATTTTAAACACTTTTTTTGTTTACTACATGATTCCATATGTGTTATTTCATAGTTTTGATGTCTTCACTATTATTCTACAATGTAAAAAATTGTAAAAAATAAAGAAAAACCTTAACTTTTGACTGGTACTGAACAGCATGTGTGTGTGTGTGTGTGTATATATGTGTGTGTATATATATATATATATATATATACACACACACACACACATATATACACACACACACACAGTGGGGGAAAAAAGTATTTAGTCAGCCACCAATTGTGCAAGTTCTCCCATTTAAAAAGATGAGAGAGGCCTGTAATTTTCATCATAGGTACATGTCAACTATGACAGACAAATTGAGGAGAAAAAAATCCAGAAAATCACATTGTAGGATTTTTAATGAATTTATTTGCAAATTATGGTGGAAAATAAGTATTTGGTCACCTACAAACAAGCAAGATTTCTGGCTCTCACAGACCTGTAACAACTTCTTTAAGAGGCTCCTCTGTCCTCCACTCGTTACCTGTATTAATGGCACCTGTTTGAACTTGTTATCAGTATAAAAGACACCTGTCCACAACCTCAAACAGTCACACTCCAAACTCCACTATGGCCAAGACCAAAGAGCTGTCAAAGGACACCAGAAACAAAATTGTAGACCTGCACCAGGCTGGGAAGACTGAATCTGCAATAGGTAAGCAGCTTGGTTTGAAGAAATCAACTGTGGGAGCAATTATTAGGAAATGGAAGACATACAAGACCACTGATAATCTCCTCGATCTGGGGCTCCACGCAAGATCTCACCCCGTTGGGGTCCAAAATGATCACAAGAACGGTGAGCAAAACATCCCAGAACCACACAGGGGGGACCTAGTGAATGACCTGCAGAGAGCTGGGACCAAAGTAACAAAGCCTACCATCAGTTAACACACTACGCCGCCAGGGACTCAAATCCTACAGTGCCAGACGTGTCCCCCCTGCTTAAGCCAGTACATGTCAAGGCCCGTCTGAAGTTTGCTAGAGTGCATTTGGATGATCCAAAGAGGATTGGGAGAATGTCATATGGTCAGATGAAAACCAAAATATAACTTTTTGGTAAAAACCTCAACTCGTCGTGTTTGGAGGACAAAGAATGCTGAGTTGCATCCAAAGAACACCATACCTACTGTGAAGCATGGGGGGTGGAAACATCATGCTTTGGGGCTGTTTTCTGCAAAGGGACTAGGACCAACTGATCCGTGTAAAGGAAAGAATGAATGGGGCCATGTATCGTGAGATTTTGAGTGAAAACCTCCTTCCATCAGCAAGGGCATTGAAGATGAAACGTGGCTGGGTCTTTCAGCATGACAATGATCCCAAAACACACCGCCCGGGCAACGAAGGAGTGGCTTCGTAAGAAGCATTTCAAGGTCCTGGAGTGGCCTAGCCAGTCTCCAGATCTCAACCCCATAGAAAATCTTTGGAGGGAGTTGAAAGTCTGTGTTGCCCAGCGACAGCCCCAAAACATCACTGCTCTAGAGGAGATCTGCGTGGAGGAATGGGCCAAAATACCAACAACAGTGTGTGAAAACCTTGTGAAGACTTACAGAAAACGTTTGACCTGTGTCATTGCCAACAAAGGGTATATAACAAAGTATTGAGAAACGTTTGTGATTGACCAAATACTTATTTTCCACCATAATTTGCAAATAAATTCATTAAAAATCCTACAATGTGATTTTCTGGATTTTTAAAAATCATTTTGTCTGTCATAGTTGACGTGTACCTATGATGAAAATTACAGGCCTCTCTCATCTTTTTAAGTGGGAGAACTTGCACAATTGGTGGCTGACTAAATACTTTCCCCCCCCCCACTTTGTGTGTGTATATATATATATTTTATTTCTTTTTTGGATGTGTGTCTCTTTAGGTCTGCTATCTAAGCTGCTCCGGGCCTTGCCAGAAGAGAGGCTGTCTATATCTGAACTCAAGACCGATCCATGGTTCAGTCAGACCCTCACATCCTCATCCTCTCACAGCAAACTACTGTGCTCCGACACACAACTACACAGGAACAACAGGTGGGTTAGACCCTCACATCCTCATCCTCTCACAGCAAACTACTGTGCTCCGACACACAACTACACAGGAACAACAGGTGGGTTAGACCCTCACATCCTCATCCTCTCACAATAAACTACTGTGCTCCGACACACAACTACACAGGAACAACAGGTGGGTCAGACCCTCACATCCTCATCCTCTCACAGCAAACTACTGTGCTCCGACACACAACTACACAGGAACAACAGGTGGGTTAGACCCTCACATCCTCATCCTCTCACAACAAACTACTGTGCTCCGACACACAACTACACAGGAACAACAGGTGGGTTAGACCCTCACCATCCTCATCCTCTCACAACAAACTACTGTGCTCCGACACACAACTACACAGGAACAACAGGTGGGTTCAGACCCTCACATCCTCATCCTCTCACAATAAACTACTGTGCTCCGACACACAACTACACAGGAACAACAGGTGGGTCAGACCCTCACATCCTCATCCTCTCACAACAAACTACTGTGCTCCGACACACAACTACACAGGAACAACAGGTGGGTTAGACCCTCACATCCTCATCCTCTCACAATAAACTACTGTGCTCCGACACACAACTACACAGGAACAACAGGTGGGTTAGACCCTCACATCCTCATCCTCTCACAGCAAACTACTGTTGCTCCGACACACAACTACACAGGAACAACAGGTGGGTTAGACCCTCACATCCTCATCCTCTCACAGCAAACTACTGTGCTCCGACACACAACTACACAGGAACAACAGGTGGGTTAGACCCTCACATCCTCATCCTCTCACAGCAAACTACTGTGCTCCGACACACAACTACACAGGAACAACAGGTGGGTTAGACCCTCACATCCTCATCCTCTCACAGCAAAACTACTGTGCTCCGACACACAACTACACAGGAACAACAGGTGGGTTAGACCCTCACATCCTCATCCTCTCACAGCAAACTACTGTGCTCCGACACACAAACTACACAGGAACAACAGGTGGGTTAGACCCTCACATCCTCATCCTCTCACAACAAACTACTGCGCTCCGACACACAACTACACAGGAACAACAGGTGGGTTAGACCCTCACATCCTCATCCTCTCACAACAAACTACTGTGCTCCGACACACAACTACACAGGAACAACAGGTGGGTTAGACCCTCACATCCTCATCCTCTCACAATAAACTACTGTGCTCCGACACACAACTACACAGGAACAACAGGTGGGTTAGACCCTCACATCCTCATCCTCTCACAACAAACTACTGCGCTCCGACACACAACTACACAGGAACAACAGGTGGGTTAGACCCTCACATCCTCATCCTCTCACAACAAACTACTGTGCTCCGACACACAACTACACAGGAACAACAGGTGGGTTAGACCCTCACATCCTCATCCTCTCACAACAAACTACTGTGCTCCGACACACAACTACACAGGAACAACAGGTGGGTTAGACCCTCACATCCTCATCCTCTCACAGCAAACTACTGTGCTCCGACACACAACTACACAGGAAACAACAGGTGGGTTAGACCCTCACATCCTCATCCTCTCACAATAAACTACTGTGCTCCGACACACAACTACACAGGAACAACAGGTGGGTTAGACCCTCACATCCTCATCCTCTCACAGCAAACTACTGTGCTCCGACACACAACTACACAGGAACAACAGGTGGGTTAGACCCTCACATCCTCATCCTCTCACAACAAACTACTGTGCTCCGACACACAACTACACAGGAACAACAGGTGGGTTAGACCCTCACATCCTCATCCTCTCACAATAAACTACTGTGCTCCGACACACAACTACACAGGAACAAACAGGTGGGTTAGACCCTCACATCCTCATCCTCTCACAATAAACTACTGTGCTCCGACACACAACTACACAGGAACAACAGGTGGGTTTAGACCCTCACATCCTCATCCTCTCACAATAAACTACTGTGCTCCGACACACAACTACACAGGAACAACAGGTGGGTTAGACCCTCACATCCTCATCCTCTCACAGCAAACTACTGTGCTCCGACACACAACTACACAGGAACAACAGGTGGGTTAGACCCTCACATCCTCATCCTCTCACAACAAACTACTGTGCTCCGACACACAACTACACAGGAACAACAGGTGGGTCAGACCCTCACATCCTCATCCTCTCACAACAAACTACTGTGCTCCGACACACAACTACACAGGAACAACAGGTGGGTTAGACCCTCACATCCTCATCCTCTCACAACAAACTACTGTGCTCCGACACACAACTACACAGGAACAACAGGTGGGTCAGACCCTCACATCCTCATCCTCTCACAATAAACTACTGTGCTCCGACACACAACTACACAGGAACAACAGGTGGGTTAGACCCTCACATCCTCATCCTCTCACAACAAACTACTGTGCTCCGACACACAACTACACAGGAACAACAGGTGGGTTAGACCCTCACATCCTCATCCTCTCACAATAAACTACTGTGCTCCGACACACAACTACACAGGAACAACAGGTGGGTTAGACCCTCACATCCTCATCCTCTCACAATAAACTACTGTGCTCCGACACACAACTACACAGGAACAACAGGTGGGTTAGACCCTCACATCCTCATCCTCTCACAATAAACTACTGTGCTCCGACACACAACTACACAGGAACAACAGGTGGGTTAGACCCTCACATCCTCATCCTCTCACAACAAACTACTGTGCTCCGACACACAACTACACAGGAACAACAGGTGGGTTAGACCCTCACATCCTCATCCTCTCACAACAAACTACTGTGCTCCGACACACAACTACACAGGAACAACAGGTGGGTTAGACCCTCACATCCTCATCCTCTCACAATAAACTACTGTGCTCCGACACACAACTACACAGGAACAACAGGTGGGTTAGACCCTCACATCCTCATCCTCTCACAATAAACTACTGTGCTCCGACACACAACTACACAGGAACAACAGGTGGGTTATGTTACAACTATGTTATGGTGTTTGTCTAATGTTGCTAAGGGCGGCAGGTAACCTAGCGATTACAGTCACTGAACGGTTGCTAGTTCGAATCCCAGAGCCGACAATGTACAACAACTACCGATGTGCCCTTGAGCAAGACACTTAACCCTCATTTCTCCAGGGTCGCCGTTGATGGCAGACCCTGGCCGTGACCCCACTCTCCGAGGGTGTCTCGGGGAGTTGGGAGCAGCGGATTAATGGTGTGTGTGCGTGTGTGTGTGTGCGTGTGTGTGTGTGTGTGTGTGTGTGTGTAGTGACAGGGTGCAGTTCTCCAGCTCCCAGCCAGACCCAGCGCTGGGTGTGTGTGTGTGGGAAGGAAGTGTTTGTGTCGGAGGGGCAGTCCAGGTCAGCTTCTCTCAGCCGGCCAGACCAGACAACATGCTGCTGGGGAGTCAACTACTGGGCACACCTGGAGCCAGCCAGGTAACACACACACACCTGGAGCCAGCCAGGTAACACACACACACCTGGAGCCAGCCAGGTAACACACACACACCTGGAGCCAGCCAGGTAACACACACACACCTGGAGCCAGCCAAGGTAACACACACACCACCTGGAGCCAGCAGGTAACACACACACACCTGGAAGCCAGCCAGGTTGGTAACACACACACACCTGGAGCCAGCCAGGTAACACAACACCCCCTGGAGCCAGCCATGGTAACACAACACACACCTGGAGCAAGCCAGGTAACACACACAACACACCTGGAGCCAGCAGGTAACACACACCACACACCTGGAGCCAGCCAGGTAACACACACACACCCTGGAGCCAGCCAGGTAACACACACACACACCTGGAGCCAGCCAGGTAACACACAACACACCTGGAGCCAGCCAGGTAACACACACACACACCTGGAGCCAGCCAGGTAACACACACACACACCTGGAGCCAGCCAGGTAACACACACACACACCTGGAGCCAGCCAGGTAACACACACACACACCTGGAGCCAGCCAGGTACACACACACACACCTGGAGCCACCAGGGTAACACACACCACACACCTGGAGCCAGCCAGGTAACACACACACTGTATACACACACACACACACACACACACACACACGCTGTATACACACACACATATACACACACACACACCGAGTCAATGTGCAGGAGGCGATATACAGGAGGGACCGATATACAGGAGGGACCGATATACAGGTGGTACCGGTACCGAGTCAATGTGCGGGAGGCTATATACAGGAGGTACCGGTACCGAGTCAATGTGCAGGAGGCTATATACAGGTGGTACCGGTACCGAGTCAATGTGCAGGGGTAAAGGTTGGTTGAGGTAACTGTTTGGCCTGGCCGGAGGAACCCCTGAGAGTCTGGGCTGCATCACGTTAGCTTCCCGCTCACGCTGCACAGAATGAATACATGTAATGATATTTAACTCAAAAGATGCCCAACGATTGAACAGAGCAGTAGCTGAGTTTAACTCAAAAGATGCCCAACGATTAAACAGAGCAGTAGCTGAGTTTATCTGTCTGGATCAAGTGGCATTCTGGGACTTTGGCTAATACGCTTTTTTTTGCCTTGATATCGTTTTGGTATCGAGGATTGTGATGGTATTAAGTATCGTGATACTAAACCTTGTATCGCTATCGAAGGCAAAATTCTGGTATCGTGACACACACACACACACACACCCACACCCACACACACACACACACACACGCGTAATAGCTGTATTCATAATGTAGAACTCACATGACAGTAAACTAACCATCTCTACCTACTGAGATACACAGGTCCACATTACAGTAAACTAACCATCTCTACCTACTGAGATACACAGGTCCCTTTACAGTAAACAAACCATCTCTACCTACTGAGATACACAGGTCCACATTACAGTAAACTAACCATCTCACCTACTGAGATACACAGGTCCACATTACGGGTAAACTAACCATCTCTACCTACTGAGATACACAGGCCCAAACATTACAGTAAATAACCATTCCTACCTACTGAGATACACGGGCCCACTTTACAGTAAATAACCATCTCTACTACTGAGATCAAAGGTCCACATTACAGTAACTAACCATCTCTACCTACTGAGATACACAGGCCCACATTACAGTAAAACTAACCATCTCTACCTACGAGATACACAGGTCCACATTACAGTAAATAACCATCTCTACCTACTGAGAACCAGGTCCACTTACAGTAAACTAACCATCTCTACAATGAGATAACACAGGTCCACTTTACAGTAAACTAACCATCTCTACCTACTGAGATACACAGGTCCACATACAGTAAAACTAACCATCCTACCTACTGAGATACACAGGCCCCACATTACAGTAAACAACCATCTCTACCTACTGAGATACACAGGTCCAATTACAGTAACTAACCCTTAGCCACGAGAAACACAGGTCCACATTACAGTAAACACACCTCCTGGATCACAGCCACTTAAGTAACAACCATCACCCGGGAGATACACAGGCCACTCAGTAAACACCACCACCTATGAGATACACATCACACATTCAGTAACACAACCATCCTGGACCACTAGAATACACACCACATTACAGTAACTAACCATCTCACCACTGGATACCAGGTCCAAAACAAACACATTTACCATGAGATACACACACATTACGTAACACTACCATCTCACACTGGAGCACCAGGTCACAACAGAAACAACCACTCACCTGAGCACAGGTCCACAACAGTAAACACACCACCACTGAGCCAGCCCATTAGTAACACACCACTCTACCTGGAGCCGGGCCATGGTAACAACCACCACCACTGGATACCAGGTCCACATACAAACAAACCATCCTACCTCCCTGTATACACCACCACATTACTAACAACCACACCACAAACCGAGTCCACATTACAGAAGGCTATCATCTACGTAGGGAGATATACAGGAGGTCCGACATACAGTAAGTAACCTGCAAACCTACGAGATACACAGGCCGCAATTACAGTACCAAACCATTCAATGTGCACAGGCTATTACAGTAACCCAAACCGATCTCACCATGGCAGGGTCCACAGTTGCGTAAGTAACCTCTTTACCTAGCCGAGAACATCCCCTGAAGATACTCTGTCCTCTAATCACAGGTCACTTCCGTCTAACAGCTCACACTGAATACACATGTCAATTGACATTTAAACTAACCATTCACCTACTGAGAACAAGGTCCACTGACAGTAACTACCACTCCCACGATACACAAGGCATTAGTAAACTGAAGTTTACTTCTGGATCAAGGGTTCGGACATTAGCTAATACCCATTTTTTTACCTCTGATATCGTATTACGTATCGCACTCTATATGAGATCAATGTAAGTACGTGAAACTAACCATTCGTCGCTACGAGATAAATGTCTGATCGTGAAACAACCACTACACCACAGACCACACACCACAACAACACAACCACTCTACTACTGGATATAATGTCCACATGACATTAAGTAAACTAACCATCTCTACCTACTGAGATACACAGGTCCACATTACAGTAAACTAACCCATCTCGTACCTACTGAGATACAACAGGTCCACATTACAGTAAACTAACCATCTCTACCTACTGAGATACACAGGTCCCACCTTACAGTAAACTACCAGCTCTAACCCTACTGAGAATACACAGGTCCCACATTAACAGTAAACTAACCACCTCTACCTTACTGGATACAAGGTCCACCTTACAGTAAAGCTAAGCCATCTCTACCTACTGAGATACACAGTGTCCACATTACAGTAAACTAACCATCTCTACCTACTGAGATACCACAGGTCCACATTACAGTAAACTAACCATCTCTACCTACTGAGATACACAGGTCCACATTACAGTAAACTAACCATCTCTACCTACTGAGATACACAGGTCCACATTACAGTAAACTAACCATCTCTACCTACTGAGATACACAGGTCCACATTACAGTAAACTAACCATCTCTACCTACTGAGATACACAGGTCCACATTACAGTAAACTAACCATCTCTATCTACTGAGATACACAGGTCCACATTACAGTAAACTAACCATCTCTACCTACTGAGATACACAGGTCCCACATGACAGTAAACTAACCATCTCTACCTACTGAGATACACAGGTCCACATTACAGTAAACTAACCATCTCTACCTACTGAGATACACAGGTCCACATTACAGTAAACTAACCATCTCTACCTACTGAGATACACAGGTCCACATTACAGTAAACTAACCATCTCTACCTACTGAGATACACAGGTCCACATTACAGTAAACTAACCATCTCTACCTACTGAGATACACAGGTCCACATTACAGTAAACTAACCATCTCTACCTACTGAGATACACAGGTCCACATTACAGTAAACTAACCATCTCTACCTACTGAGATACCACAGGTCCACATTACAGTAAACTAACCATCTCTACCTACTGAGATACACAGGTCCACATTAATGTAAACTGAACATTTGTTGTAACAGGTTTTTACGTCACTTTCTATTGGATCCGGTTTGTGATCCTTGTACCTCGTGAGTCACGGCCCCTTGTTTTCCTACTGAGATGACACAGGTCCTTTAACGACTCTTACCTACAGCTTCCGGTCCGCTTACGAAACTAACCTTTATCTACCTGGGCCACCACATTAATAACACCTCTCTACCTACTGAGTACACATCACACTTCAAACACCCATCCTGCACACGAACCAGGTATACAAACTAAAGTACTGCTAAAACACCCTTAAAGAACGCTAACCTGTTTACAAGAGTAAAAGGACCCAACATAACTACCTCCTCCTCTGATACAGGAGTCCACATAAGGTTCTAACCTCCTCCTCTGATATACCAGGGTAGTCCAGGCTACAGGTGGTCCTCTCCTCTCCTCTGATATCAGGTATTCCAGGAAAACCCTCCTCCTACCTACTGAGATACCAGGTCCACATTGAAACTCCTCTCACTCTGTACGGATCACAGGTGCTAATTGTCTCCTCCTCCTACTGAGATACACGGGTCCGACTTAAGGTAACTACCTCCTCCTCTGAGTATCGGAGGTCCGACATAAGTAACTCCATCTCTCCTCTGAAGGGTACCAGGCCTACATGGTCTCCTCCTCCTCTGAATCGGGTAGTCCGGCTAATGTCTCCTCCTACCTCTGAGATAAGTCCACATAAGGGGTCTCCTCTCTCCTCTGTATCAGGTCCACTACGGGGTACTCCTCCTCCTCTGAGATCAGGTCCCATTGCGTCTCCTCCTCCTCTGTAATCCAGTAGTCCACATTACGGGGTATCCTCTCTCCTCTGTTACACAGGTGCCATTAAGGGGTAAACTCCTCCTCCTCGGGTACTCAGGTAGTCCATGGCTACGGGGGTAACTCCTCCTCCTCTGAGATCACGTAGTCCACTTACAGTAGCTCCTCCTCCTACTGTTACACGGGTCCACTAAGGTAAGGCTACTCCTCCTACGTTATCACGGTTTCCGCAATTGAGTCTACCTCCTCTCTACAGAGATAGTCCACTACAGGTAATCTACCTCTCCTCCTACGGAGATCCAGGGCAATTACGTCTACCTCCTCCTCTGATACACAGGTCCCTTTAAAGGGGTAAACTCCTCTCTCCTCTGTTATCACAGGTATTACGGTAAGGTGGATCTCCTCTCTCCTCTGTTAACAGGTTCCACTTAGGGTGGTCATGACATTTGTTTTATCAGGGTAGTCAGGTTGCTAAGGGTTGTTCCTTGTACCCGTTAGTCAGGGTGTCCGGGGATAAAGGTTTTACGTCTGCCTCCTTTCCTCTGTTTATAGGAGTCACGTGTATCGCTGGCCCCACCTTCCACCTTTGCATCCAGGGTACCACGGCAACTTCTAACACCCTCTTTGTACCAGCCAGGTCAGGGGCACAAGGGCTCCCCCTCCCACGGGGTACCACAGGCTAACAGTGGTCTCCTTGTTATCAGAGCCGGGGCACGGATGGTCTCCTCCTCCTCTGTTATCAGGGTAGTCCAGGGCTAAGGGTGGTCTCCTCCTCCTCCTCTGTTATCAGGGTAGTCCAGGGCTAAGGGTGGTCTCCTCCTCCTCTGTTATCAGGGTAGTCCGGGGCTAAGGGTGGCCCCTCCTCCTCTGTTATCAGGGTAGTCCAGGGCTAAGGGTGGTCTCCTCCTCCTCTGTTATCAGGGTAGTCCGGGGCTAAGGGTGGTCTCCTCCTCCTCCTCTGTTATCAGGGTAGTCCGGGGCTAAGGGTGGTCCTCCTCCTCCTTCTGTTATCAGGTAGTCCAGGCTAAGGGTGGTCTCCTCCTCCTCTGTTATCAGGGTAGTCCGGGGCTAAGGGTGGTCTCCTCCTCCTCTGTTATCAGGGTAGTCCGGGGCTAAGGGTGGGTCTCCTCCTCCTCCTCTGTTATCAGGGTAGTCCAGTGCTAAGGGGGTCCCTCCTACCTACTATGTGATCATGGGGGGTTTTTTTCAGTCCAGGGCTAAGGGTGGTCTCCTCCTCCTCTGTATCAGGGTTAGGTCCAGGGCTAAGGGTGGTTCTCCTCCCCTCCTCCTGTTATCAGGGTAGTACCAGGGCTCAAGGGGGTCTCCTCCGCCTCCTCTGTTATCAGGGGTAGTCCGGGGCTAGGGTGGTCTCCTCCTTCCTCTGTTATCATGGGTAGTCCAGGGCTAAGGGTGGTCTCCTCCTCCTCTGTTATCAGGGTAGTCCGGGGCTAAGGGTGGTCTAGTGGTTTTCCATGTAGTAATGATGCCATCACCATGGTCACAAATCTGCGCATGCTTTTTTCTCTTGGGCAATCAAACAGTGGTACAGCGAAGCCTAATCAATATCTGACCTATTTTATTTTTGTATTTGTTTTTTAAATTATTATTATTATTATTATTAATAATATTTTTTTAGGCCCACTGGTGCTCCCAAATTAAAATTAGTTTGAAAAATATGCCACCATTTTGGTCTGTAGCTTTTTGTTTGCCCTGAAATGTGCCTGGGAGGCATCGCAAGCTCCAAATAGGGTTTATGAATCAGCAAACTACCCCTTGTGGCGAAAGTAAGAACTGCCATTGAACATGTATTTTCAATCGAATCAATCAAATGTATTCATGAAGCCCTTTTTACATCAGCAGATTTCACAAAGTGCTTGTACAGAAACCCAACCTAAAACTCCAAACAACAAGCGATGCAGATGTAGAAGCACGATGGCAAGGAAAAACGCTCTAGAAAAATGTAAATAGTCCAGGTGGCCATTTGATTAATTGTTTAGAAGTCTTATGGCTTGGGGATAGAAGCTGTTAAGGAGCCTTTTGGACCTAGACCTGACTCTCCGGTACCGCTTGCCGTGCGGCAGCAGAGAGAACAGTCTATGACTTGGGTGGCTGGATTCTTTGACAATTTTTTGGGCCTTCCTCTGACACCGCCTGGTATAGAGGTCCTGGATAGCAGGAAGCTTGGCCCCAGTGATGTACTGGGCCGTACGCACTACCCTCTATAGTGCCTTGCGGTCGGAGGCCGAGCAGTTGCCATACCAGGCGGTGATGCAACCGGTCAGGATGCTCTCGATGGTGCAGCTGTAGAACCTTTTTGAGGATCTGAGGACCCATGCCAAATCTTTTCAGTCTCCTGAGGGGGGAAAGGTGTTGTTGTGCCCTGATCACGACTGTCTTGGTTTGTTTGGACCATGATAGTTTGTTGGTGATGTGGACACCAAGGACCTTGAAACTCTCGACCCGCTCCACTACAGCCCCAGCGATGAGAACGGGGGCGTGTTCAGCCCTCCTTGTCCTGTAGTCCACAATCATCTCCTTTGTCTTGCTCACGTTGAGGGAGAGGTTGTTTTCCTGGCACCACACTGCAAACACAGCAAAACTTAATGATGGTGTTGGAGTTGTACCTGGCCATGCAGTCATGTGTGAACAGGGAGTACATGAGGGGACTGAGCACGCACCCCTGAGGGGCCCCCGTGTTGAGGATCAGCGTGGCAGATTTGTTGTTGCCTACCTTTACCACCTGGGGGCGGCCCGTCTGGAAGTCCAGGATCCAGTTGCAGAGGGAGGTGTTTAGTCCCAGGGTCCTTAGCTTAGTGATGAGCTTTGTGGGCACTATGGTGTTGAACGCTGAGCTGTAGTCAATGAACAGCATTCTCACACAGGTGTTCCTTTTGTCCAGATGGGAAAGAGCAGTGTGGAGTGCGATTTGAGATTGCGTCATCTGTGGATCTGTTGGGGCGGTATGCAAATTGGAGTGGGTCCAGGGTTTCTGGGATGATGGTGTTAACGTGAGCCATGACCAGCCTTTCAAAGCACTTCATGGCTACCGATGTGAGTGCTACGGGGCGGTAGTCATTTCCGCAGGTTACCTTCACTTTCTTGGGCCCAAGGACTATGGTGGTCTGCTTGAAACATGTAGGTATTACAGACTCGGTCAGGGAGAGGTTGAAAATGTCAGTGAAGACTTGCAGGTTTGTCCGCGCATGCTCTTGAGTACACGTCCTGGTAATCCATCTGGCCCTGCGGCCTTGTGAATGTTGACCTGTTTAAAGGTCTTGCTCACATCGGCTACGGAGAGCGTGATCACACAGTCGTCCGGAACAGCTGTTGCTCTCATGCATGCTTCAGTGTTGCTTGCCTCGACGCGATCATAAAAGGCATTTAGCTTGTCTGGGGCAGTTCGTGTCTGGGTTTCCTTTTGTAGTCTGTAATAGTTTTCAAGCCCTGCCACATCCCACGAGCGTCAGAGCCGGTGTAGTACGATTCAATCTTAGTCCTGTATTGACGCTTTGCCTGTGATGGTTCGTCTGAGTGTCCCGCTTCTTGAAAGCGGCAGCTCTAGCCTTTAGCTCGGTGCGGATGTTGCCTGGAATCAATGGCTTCTGGTTGGGATATGTACGTACGGTCACTGTGGGGACGACGTAGTCGATGCACTTATTGATGAAGCCGGTGACTGAGGTGGTATACTCCTCAATGCCATTGGATGAATCCCGGAATATATTCCAGTCTGTGCTAGCAAAACAGTCCTGTAGCGTAGCATCCGCGTCATCTGACCACTTCCGTATTGAGCGAGTCACTGGTGCTTCCTGCTTTAGTTTTTGCTTGTAAACAGGAATCAGGAGGATAGAATTATGGTCAGATTTGCCAAATGGAGGGCGAGGGAGAGCTTTGTATGCGTCTCTGTGTGTGGAGTAAAGGTGGTCTAGAGTTTTTTTCCTCTGGTTGCACAGATTTAACATGCTGGTAGAAATGAGGTAAAACTGACTTAAGTTTGCCTGCATTAAAGTCCCCGGCCACTAGGAGCGCCGCTTCTGGATGAACATTTTCTTGTTTGCTTATAGCCTTATACAGCTTGTTGAGTGCGGTCTTAGTGCCAGCACCGGTTTGTGGTGGTAAATAGACAGCTATGAAAAATATAGATGAAAACTCTCTTGGTAAATAGTGTGGTCTACAGCTTATCATAAGATACTCTACCTCAGGCGAGCAATACCTAGAGACTTCCTTAATATTAGACATCGCGCACCAGCTGTTATTGACAAATCAACCCCCTGAAGAAGCTATCCCTTTTCCATTCTTTCTCTCCGGGTTACAACTTTTCAACAGTTTTTTTTCTCTTGGGCAATTAAACAGTGGTAGAGTGAAGCCTAATCAATATCAGACTGATTTCTTTCCTAGGCCCACTGATGCTCCCAAATTAAAATTCCAAGTCGCACAGCAAAATATTTAAACACATGGTGGCTAGGAAAAACTCTCTAGGAAGGCTGGAACCCAGGAAGAAACCTAAGGAGGAACCGGGCTCTGAGGGGTGACCAGTCCTCTACTGGCTGTACTGGGTAGAGAGGAACCAGGCTCTGAGGGGTGACCAGTCCTCTACTGGCTGTACTGGGTAGAGAGGAACCAGGCTCTGAGGGGTGGCCAGTCCTCTACTGGCTGTACTGGGTAGAGAGGAACCAGGCTCTGAGGGGTGACCAGTTCTCTACTGGCTGTACTGGGTAGAGAGGAACCAGGCTCTGAGGGGTGGCCAGTCCTCTACTGGCTGTACTGGGTAGAGAGAACCAGGCTCTGAGGGGTGGCCAGTCCTCTACTGGCTGTACTGGGTAGAGAGGAACCAGGCTCTGAGGGGTGGCCAGTCCTCTACTGGCTGTACTGGGTAGACCAGAGGAACCAGGCTCTGAGGGGTGACCAGTCCTCTTCTGGCTGTACTGGGTAGACCAGAGGAACCAGGCTCTGAGGGGTGGCCAGTCCTCTACTGGCTGTACTGGGTAGAGAGGAACCAGGCTCTGAGGGGTGACCAGTCCTCTACTGGCTGTACTGGGTAGACCAGAGGAACCAGGCTCTGAGGGGTGGCCAGTCCTCTACTGGCTGTACTGGGTAGACCAGAGGAACCAGGCTCTGAGGGGTGGCCAGTCCTCTACTGGCTGTACTGGGTAGAGAGGAACCAGGCTCTGAGGGGTGACCAGTCCTCTACTGGCTGTACTGGGTAGAGAGGAACCAGGCTCTGAGGGGTGGCCAGTCCTCTACTGGCTGTACTGGGTAGAGAGGAACCAGGCTCTGAGGGGTGACCAGTCCTCTACTGGCTGTACTGGGTAGAGAGGAACCAGGCTCTGAGGGGTGACCAGTCCTCTACTGGCTGTACTGGGTAGACCAGAGGAACCAGGCTCTGAGGGGTGGCCAGTCCTCTTCTGGCTGTACTGGGTAGAGAGGAACCAGGCTCTGAGGGGTGGCCAGTCCTCTCCTGGCTGTACTGGGTAGAGAGGAACCAGGCTCTGAGGGGTGGCCAGTCCTCTACTGGCTGTACTGGGTAGAGAGGAACCAGGCTCTGAGGGGTGGCCAGTCCTCTACTGGCTGTACTGGGTAGAGAGGAACCAGGCTCTGAGGGGTGACCAGTCCTCTACTGGCTGTACTGGGTAGAGAGGAACCAGGCTCTGAGGGGTGACCAGTCCTCTACTAGCTGTACTGGGTAGAGAGGAACCAGGCTCTGAGGGGTGGCCAGTCCTCTACTGGCTGTACTGGGTAGAGAGAACCAGGCTCTGAGGGGTGGCCAGTCCTCTACTGGCTGTACTGGGTAGAGAGGAACCAGGCTCTGAGGGGTGACCAGTCCTCTACTGGCTGTACTGGGTAGACCAGAGGAACCAGGCTCTGAGGGGTGGCCAGTCCTCTACTGGCTGTACTGGGTAGACCAGAGGAACCAGGCTCTGAGGGGTGACCAGTTCTCTACTGGCTTTACTGGGTAGACCAGAGGAACCAGGCTCTGAGGGGTGGCCAGTCCTCTACTGGCTGTACTGGGTAGACCAGAGGAACCAGGCTCTGAGGGGTGGCCAGTCCTCTACTGGCTGTACTGGGTAGAGAGGAACCAGGCTCTGAGGGGTGGCCAGCCCTCTACTGGCTGTACTGGGTAGACCAGAGGAACCAGGCTCTGAGGGGTGGCCAGTCCTCTACTGGCTGTACTGGGTAGACCAGAGGAACCAGGCTCTGAGGGGTGGCCAGTCCTCTACTGGCTGTACTGGGTAGACCAGAGGAACCAGGCTCTGAGGGGTGGCCAGTCCTCTACTGGCTGTACTGGGTAGAGAGGAACCAGGCTCTGAGGGGTGGCCAGTCATCTACTGGCTGTACTGGGTAGAGAGGAACCAGGCTCTGAGGGGTGACCAGTTCTCTACTGGCTGTGCTGGGTAGAGAGGAACCAGGCTCTGAGGGGTGGCCAGTCCTCTTCTGGCTGTGCCGGGTGATTTTATGAGTACATGGCCATTTAACGCCAGATCGTTCTTCAAGATGTTCATAGATGACCAGCAGGGTGAAATAATAATCACAGTGGTTGTAGAGGGTGCAACAGGTCAGCACCACAGGAGTAAATGTCAGTTGGCTTTTCATAGCCGAGCATTCAGAGGTTGAGACAGCAGGTGCGGTAGGGAGAGGGAGGGAGAGAGGGTCAAAACAGCCGATCCGGGGCAAGGTAGCACGTCTGGTGAACAGGTCAGGGTTCCATAGCCACAGGCAGAACAGTTGAAACTGGAGCAGCAACACGACCAGGTGGACTGGGGACAGCCAGGAGTCATCAGGTGGACTGGGGACGGGGACAGCCAGGAGTCATCAGGTGGACTGGGGACGGGGACAGCCAGGAGTCATCAGGTGGACTGGGGACAGCCAGGAGTCATCAGGTGGACTGGGGACGGGGACAGCCAGGAGTCATCAGGTGGACTGGGGACGGGGACAGCCAGGAGTCATCAGGTGGACTGGGGACGGGGACAGCCAGGAGTCATCAGGTGGACTGGGGACAGCCAGGAGTCATCAGGTGGACTGGGGACAGCCAGGAGTCATCAGGTGGACTGGGGACGGGGACAGCCAGGAGTCATCAGGTGGACTGGGGATGGCCAGGAGTCATCAGGTGGACTGGGGACAGCCAGGAGTCATCAGGTGGACTGGGGACGGGGACAGCCAGGAGTCATCAGGTGGACTGGGGACAGCCAGGAGTCATCAGGTGGACTGGGGACAGCCAGGAGTCATCAGGTGGACTGGGGACGGGGACAGCCAGGAGTCATCAGGTGGACTGGGGACGGGGACAGCCAGGAGTCATCAGGTGGACTGGGGACGGGGACAGCCAGGAGTCATCAGGTGGACTGGGGACAGCCAGGAGTCATCAGGTGGACTGGGGACGGGGACAGCCAGGAGTCATCAGGTGGACTGGGGACGGGGACAGCCAGGAGTCATCAGGTGGACTGGGGACAGCCAGGAGTCATCAGGTGGACTGGGGACGCGGACAGCCAGGAGTCAACAGGTGGACTGGGGACGGGGACAGCCAGGAGTCATCAGGTGGACTGGGGACGGGGACAGCCAGGAGTCATCAGGTGGACTGGGGACGGGGACAGCCAGGAGTCATCAGGTGGACTGGGGACGGGGACAGCCAGGAGTCATCAGGTGGACTGGGGACGGGGACAGCCAGGAGTCATCAGGCCAGGTAGTCCTGAGGCATGGTCCTAGGGCTCAGGTCCTCCAGGAGAGGGAGCATACTTAAGTTCACACAGGGTACCAGATAAGACAGGAGAATAACACCAGAGAGGACAGACTGACCCAAACCCCCCGGCACAGACTAGTACAGCATAGATACTGGAGGCTGAGCCTGAAGTTTATTTATTTCTCAGAGTAGCCGGAGAGTAGAGCATTGCGGTAATCTAATCTAGAAGTGATTGAATGAGGACAAACCGTAAAGCCCTACTTCATATCCCACCAGTTATATGACATATTGGTCATATGGCCCCGCCCTAGTTCATATCCCACCAGTTATATGACATGTTGGCCATATGGCCCCGCCCTACTTCATATCCCACCAGTTATATGACATGTTGGCCATATGGCCCCGCCCTAGTTCATATCCCACCAGTTATATGACATATTGGTCATATGGCCCCGCCCTAGTTCATATCCCACCAGTTATATGACATGTTGGCCATATGGCCCCGCCCTACTTCATATCCCACCAGTTATATGACATGTTGGCCATATGGCCCCGCCCTACTTCATATCCCACCAGTTATATGACATGTTGGCCATATGGCCCCGCCCTACTTCATATCCCACCAGTTATATGACATATTGGTCATATGGCCCCGCCCTAGTTCATATCCCACCAGTTATATGACATGTTGGCCATATGGCCCCGCCCTACTTCATATCCCACCAGTTATATGACATGTTGGTCATATGGCCCCGCCCTACTTCATATCCCACCAGTTATATGACATGTTGGCCATATGGCCCCGCCCTACTTCATATCCCACCAGTTATATGACATGTTGGTCATATGGCCCCGCCCTACTTCATATCCCACCAGTTATATGACATATTGGTCATATGGCCCCGCCCTAGTTCATATCCCATCTAACCAGCTGCACACTCCTCTGACCCCTGTTGCGTGTGTTTGTTTCCCAGGTAACGGTCAGTACTCTGGATAGACGGAACAATAAGTTGATATTTAAGGTTCATCTGATGGAGCTGGACCAGAGAGTTTTACTGGACTTCAGACTATCCAAGGTAGGGATGTGGACGTGTGTGTGTAATACAACTGGGACTGCTCAGTTGACTCTGACCATCTTTGCAGTATCCTGCATCACCTTTCATGGATACTGATAGCGTATGTGTTACAGGGTGATGGTCTGGAGTTTAAGCGTCTCTTCCTGAAGATCAAACAGAAGCTAAGTGACATCATCAGCACCCAGAAAATACCACTTCCTGTCACATGATCAGATGCCATCTACGCCACGGAACGCACACACCAGATGACATCAGGCTGTGTGTGTGTGTGTGTGTTTGTGTGTGTGTCTGTGTGTGTGTGTGTGTGTGTGTGTGTGTGTGTGTGTGTGTGTGTGTGTGTGTGTGTGACTATCCTCATGGGTACCTCAAATCCCCAAAAGTCCCCTCAAGGACAGTAAAACAAGAAAAATCCTCCCTCGTGGGGACATTTCCCAGGTCCCCAGGAAGACAGACCATTTTAAGTTTAGGGAAAATAGGATTTTGAATGGAAATCCATTTTAGGTCCCCACAAGGATAGTAACACATGTGTTGTGTAGACGTAGTAGCAACTATAGCTGGGACCATCAACCGGAGATGATCCACACCGACCTTACCGATCACTTATCACAGGCATTCTGCTGATATGATTCATTATGATACGTAGCCTATACTAGAGAAATGAAATAAGTGTGATAATATGGGTGATTGTCAATGGGACAATTGATGACTACAACCATCACACTAGTAGTAGTAGTTTAAAGGATAATTTTTTAAATGGTGGTGCACAATGTTATAAACTTATCCATACTTTATCATTATCTCATCAATTCAAGGCAATTTATCTGGATATAGATGTCGGTCTCTCTGATTGTCTGTCTGTCTCTCTGATTGTCTGTCTGTCTCTCAGATTGTCTGTCGGTCTCTCTGATTGTCTGTCTGTGTGTCTCTGTCTCTCTGATTGTCTGTCTGTCTGTGTGTCTCTCTCTCGTGTTAGTGTGTGTTGTTTTGTGTGTTGGTGTGTAACTCTTATTGTGTATCAAATAAAATAAGTTGTGATAACAGCTGTACTTTATTTCAACCTGGAAACCAGAACAGACAGAGGGAGCCTAGGATGCGTTCACACCATCTCCTAAATTCCTAAATACCAGCATATGACTTGGAAAATTACATTTGCACGCCCTTCCAACTGGTAATTACTAGTGGGAAACTCGTCTCAACTGGTAATTACTAGTGGGAAACTCGTCTCAACTGGTAATTACTAGTGGGAAACTCGTCTCAACTGGTAATTACTAGTGGGAAACTCGTCTCAACTGGTAATTACTAGTGGGAAACTTGTCTCAACTGGTAATTACTAGTGGGAAACTCGTCTCAACTGGTAATTACTAGTGGGAAACTCGTCTATCATCTCTGAGCTTCGACTTCTCCCACATGCTGAACTGACATCACATACTAAGGAAATTACCTTGATAACAGCATTTTCTGAAGTTAAATGCAACAGTAAAACATTATTTATGAAAAACGATCTATTGGTATAGTATTTGAACGCTATAATTTGTTTTTGAGCATGATGGCTGTACTTTTAATACAAATTGTATTTTCAGAGTTAGGGTTATGAATGCAGCATTATCCAGTATGTATGGATGGGTGTGTTCTTCATCCTGTTGCCATGACGGTGATGGTGACGTTGACAGGTTCGTTGTCCTCAGTGGGGAGAGGGGGAGAGACAGGGGAGGCAGCCCTAGGAGAGGACATGGACGGACCTAGAGAAGAGAAGATTCATTTATCAACATGTTAAAGATCCAGTATGTAACTTTTTGGGTGACGTGACCAAAATCCACATAGAAATATGAGTTCTAGATCTATCGTCCTCATTGTAAGCAAGTCTAAGAAGCAGTAGATCTGTTCTATATGCTTCCTTTTCTTCAATTTGGTTTTGTACGTCGGCTTCAAACACAATATTTTTTGTTAATTGAAAATATATTTCACAGCAGTTTGGATATACAATGATATGCTCTGGATAAAAGCATCTGCTAAATGACTACAATGTAAATATTCCACACTTGTTTTGTCACAATCTGAAATTAGACAAACATAGAATTGTGGCAACCAATCACGGAGCGATTGCTACATATTACTCCTTTAATGACATGGGCCTGAGGGGAGGTTATGTCTCATTATGTTAATGAGATATTAGCGTACCTGGGCTAGGGGAGGGGAAATGTTCTGAGGCTCCTCCCTCTCCCTCAACTCCTCCCATCACCTCGTCATCAGGGAAGTTGATGTTCTCCCTGGACCGGCTGTGCTGCCTACAAACACACATTATATACATATTATACACACATTATATACATATTATACACACATTATATACACATTATACACACATTATATACATATTATACACACATTATATACATATTATACACACATTATATACACATTATATACATATTATACACACATTATATACATATTATATACATATTATACACACATATACACAGTGTGTGTGTATATATATATATACACTGCTCAAAAAAATAAAGGGAACACTAAAATAACACATCCTAGATCTGAATGAATGAAATAATCTTATTAAATACTTTTTTCTTTACATAGTTGAATGTGCTGACAACAAAATCACACAAAAATTATCAATGGAAATCAAATGTATCAACCCATGGAGGTCTGGATTTGGAGTCACCCTCAAAATTAAAGTGGAAAACCACAATACAGGCTGATCCACCTTTGATGTAATGTCCTTAAAACAAGTCAAAATGAGGCTCAGTAGTGTGTGTGGCCTCCACGTGCCTGTATGACCTCCCTACAACGCCTGGTCATGCTCCTGATGAGGTGGCGGATGGTCTCCTGAGGGATCTCCTCCCAGACCTGGACTAAAGCATCCGCCAAGTCCTGGACAGTCTGTGGTGCAACGTAGCGTTGGTGGATGGAGCGAGACATGATGTCCCAGATGTGCTCAATTGGATTCAGGTCTGGGGAACGGGCGGTCCATAGCATCAATGCCTTCCTCTTGCAGGAACTGCTGACACACTCCAGCCACATGAGGTCTAGCATTGTCTTGCATTAGGAGGAACCCAGGGCCAACCGCACCAGCATATGGTCTCACAAGGGGTCTGAGGATCTCATCTCGGTACCTAATGGCAGTCAGGCTACCTCTGGCGAGCACATGGATGGCTGTGCGGCCCCACAAAGAAATGCCACCCCACACCATGACTGACCCACCGCCAAACCGGTCATGCTGGAGGATGTTGCAGGAAGCAGATCGTTCTCCACGGCGTCTCCAGACTCTGTCACGTCTGTCACGTGCTCAGTGTGAACCTGCTTTCATCTGTGAAGAGCACAGGGCGCCAGTGGCGAATTTGCCAATCTTGGTGTTCTCTGGCAAATGCCAAACGTCCTGCACGGTGTTGGGCTGTAAGCACAACACCCACCTGTGGACGTCGGGCCCTCATACCACCCTCATGGAGTCTGTTTCTGACCGTTTGAGCAGACACATGCACATTTGTGGCCTGCTGGAGGTCATTTTGCAGGGCTCTGGCAGTGCTCCTCTTGCTCCTCCTTGCACAAAGGCGGAGGTAGCAGTCCTGCTGCTGGGTTGTTGCCCTCCTACGGCCTCCTCCACGTCTCCTGATGTACTGGCCTGTCTCCTGGTAGCGCCTCCATGCTCTGGACACTACGCTGACAGACACAGCAAACCTTCTTGCCACAGCTCGCATTGATGTGCCATCCTGGATGAGCAGCATTACCTGAGCCAATTGTGTGGGTTGTAGACTCCGTCTCATGCTACCACTAGAGTGAAAGCACCGCCAGCATTCAAAAGTGACCAAAACATCAATCAGGAAGCATAGGAACTGAGAAGTGGTCTGTGGTCACCAACTGCAAAACCAGTCCTTTATTGGGGGTGTCTTGCTAATTGCCTATAATTTCCACCTGTTGTCTATTCCATTTGCACAACAGCATGTGAAATGTATTGTCAATCAGTGTTGCTTCCTAAGTGGACAGTTTGATTTCACAGAAGTGTGATTGACTTGGAGTTACATTGTGTTGTTTAAGTGTTCCCTTTATTTTTTTGAGCAGTGTATATAGTACCAGTCAAAAGTTTGGACACTCATTCAAGGGTTTTTCTTTGTTTTTACATCGTAGAATAATAGAGAAGATATCAAAACGATGAAGTCGGAAGTTTACATACACCTTAGCCAAATACATTTAAACTCAGTTTTTCACAATTCCTGACATTTAATCCTAGTAAACATTCCCTGTTTTAGGTCAGTTAGGATCACCACTTTATTTTAAGAATGTGAAATGTCAGAATAATAGTAGAGAGAATTATTTATTTCAGCTTTTATTTCCTTCAGCACATTCCCAGTGGGTCAGAAGTTTACATACACTCAATTAGTATTTGGTAGCATTGCCTTTAAATTGTTTAACTTGGGTCAAACGTTTCGGGTAGCCTTCCACAAGTTTCCCACAATAAGTTGGGTGAATTTTGGCCCATTCCTCCTGACAGAGCTGGTGTAACTGAGTCAGGTTTGTAGGCCTCCTTGCTCGCACACGCCTTTTCAGTTCTGCCCACACATTTTCTCTAGGATTGAGGTCAGGGCTTTGTGATGGCCACTCCAATAACTTGACTTTGTTGTCCTTAAACCATTTTGCCACAACTTTGGAAGTATGCTTGGGGTCATTGTCCATTTGGAAGACCCATTTGCGACCAAGCTTTAAATTCCTGACTGATGTCTTGAGATGTTGCTTCAATATATCCACATACTTTTCCTTCTTCATGATGCCATCTATTTTGTGAAGTGCACCAGTCCCTCCTGCAGCAAAGCACCCCCACAGCATGATACTGCCACCCCCGTGCTTCACGTTTGGGATGGTGTTCTTCGGCTTTCAAGCAACCCCCTATTTCCTCCAAACATAATGATGGTCATTATGGCCAAACAGTTCTATTTTTGTTTCATCAGACCAGAGGACATTTCTTCAAAAAGTACGATCTTTGTCCCCATGTGCAGTTGCAAACTGTAGTCTGGCTTTTTTATGGCGGTTTTGGAGCAGTGGCTTCTTCCTTTCTGAGTGGCCTTTCAGGTTATGTCAATATAGGACTTGTTTTACTGTGGATATAGATACTTTTGAACCTGTTTCCTCCAGCATCTTCACAAGGTCCTTTGCTGTTGTTCTGGGATTGATTTGCACTTTTCGCACCAAAGTACGTTAATCTCAAGGAGACAGAAAGCGTCTCCTTCCTGAGCGGTATGACAGCTGCGTGGTCCCATGGTGTTTATACTTGCGTACTATTGTTTGTACAGATGAACGTGGTACCTTCAGGCATTTGGAAATTGCTCCCAAGGATGAACCAGACTTGTGGAGGTCTACAATCTTCTTTCTGGGGTCTTGGCTG